TATATATATATATATATATACATACATACACACACACACATATAAATTAGGGATGTTCAGACACCAGTTCAGATACCAGTGCCGATACTTGGCATTGGCACAAGAACTACCAGGGTTGCAGCAGGGACCTGGCTCAGGTGCTCCACCATTGTCCTGAAATCATTAGTCTGTATTGTTTTATAGAAACTGTCACATGACAATAAACACAAATTTATCAGTACTTGTATGTGTGAGTACTTGGACAAGTATCAGTACTTGTACTTGAAAAAATGGTATCGGTGCATCGCTTAATTAGATTTAAAAAAAAAATATCATACATTAAAGCAGGGATGCACAAATCCCAGGAGCTCCGTATGGTCCTTAAAAGGGACAGCTGCCACCTAACTTTTGACTTTTTCTCTAGTCTAGTCTTGAAGCTGGAAACGTATCTGTACATGGACTTGCACCAAGGACGGTACTTGGTATCTGAACATCCCTTGAAGTGACACTAAACTCAGAAGTTACATCTTAAAAATACATTCAAATGCAAAGAAAATATCACAGTGTATGGCCAGCTTAAAGCGGACCTTTACCCACTTTTACTAAAAATCACATCAGCATGCAGCTATGCATGCTGATAAAAAAATAATAATTTTACATTCATTAGTTAAACAAACATGTTTTTCATTTATTTACTCATAGAGTTTATCTACTTCCTGGTCCCGTCTTGGCACAAATGATGCAATGTGCCCATGCGTTGCATCCTGGGAAGGTTAGAGTAGTGCTGGGAAATCGTATCTGTAATCTCATGAGATCTCAAGGAAAGGCATTTTCCTCCCCTGAGATGATGTGCATGCTCACATGTCCTAGTCACATGTGCCAGATTTCCAGGAAGGGAGAGCTAGTAATCTGCCCTTAGTAAACATGGCCACTGTCAGAAAACTGGGGAAGAAAAGAGAAATAAGGTATGCAAAGAATACAAAGCCGGCAATTATCTAGAAGTATGTGTTTGTAGATTGTCATTACTAAACATTTCTAAAGGTGTGTTTGTTGTTATTTTAAAGATCTGGGTAAAGGTCCGCTTTAAATCTCTGTGGAATGTGTTTCTGCTACACAAATTACTAAAAACTAATAAAAATACCTCCAGCAGTCAACACACAGCAATAGGTCATTATCGCTATCTGGATATCATTGGCTTCTACAGATAGGACATGATTTATGCATCTCCCAGTGACACAGCGGCTTTCCCCAGGCCAAACACATTTAATAAAGCTATATATGCTGTCTTTATAGTCTCACATTAAAGTGACACTAAACTCAGGAGTCGAATCTTAAAAATACATTCAAGTACCTTAACTAGTAACATAAATGTATCTTATTTGTATATCACTCGGCTGTAGATCCTCAAATCCTCTCTAAATCGGTGCTGACACTGCCCTTCCTTCTGGGGGATGGCTACTTTTTTTGTTTTGTCGGTTATTTTCCAACTTCCTTTAAAGCACAACTCCGGGGGCATTTTTTTTAACCCTTTCAGTGGGGCTACCTCCGCACTGCAAAGGTTAACTGCTTTTTTGTATCTAGATAAAAAAAAAAGAATGTTATATTCACCCGATCCTTTAGAGCTACTCCCTGTGACAGCGCTCCCTCCAGCCTGGCTCCTCCTTTGCTGCCACGATGGTATGTCCCTTGGCGTCTTCACGTCCTATACACTTTGTATAGAATATGATGAACCATAGAAGGCTGCAGCGGAGGGGAAGCGAGGCAGAAGGGACTGGTCTACTCAGAGGATTGGGTGAGTATAACTTTTTTTTAAATAAATGTAATAAAATGTGTGCCCTGCTTCAACAGATCAAGCTGTGCAGCAAAAATGTCAATTAGCAGGTTGAGACACACCATTCAGCACTGCTTACAATGCTTAACTTTTATTGATGTACATTTTTTTTCCCAAAAGGAAAACAAAAGACGTTGCTGTAACTGCTTAAAAAAGTGTTCGACTTTAATTTGTTAGTCAAGTCCATCTAAATCTACAAGTCTATCTAACACTACCCTCCCCACAGGGTGACAATGCTGCTGTCCAAGGGTGGTTCCTCAATAGAGGGGAGACAGAATATACATTACTGGCCGGATTATCAGTTAAAAATAAAGGGGAAAAGCCTAAAAAAGGAAAACTAACGCAGCCAACACATGTAGGGATTGGTAAGCTGCACTATATCACATTTTTGGTTTTGGGTTTAGATACACTTTAGACAATACAGCTTAGTCAATTCAACACACCCAGCCATTGATTGGGGAATGAAGGAGCAGCAGAAGTGAAGAGCTATCATTTGTCTGTCTGATCTTATCATAATATAACTTGCTAGCACATGTGGACTCAACACACCTGATTGGTTACTAGTACTGCTCCTCCTACCCCAAGTTCGAGTGCTATTGGTTCATTGTAACACATACAATACATTAGGCAAAAAGAAAGAACAAGTACATAAGAATGTAAAATAGGAAATACACTACCAGCAAAAAATAAAAATGGATGGAAAGACCATGACAATTATAATTGAATAAAACAATAACAGTAGGTATAATCCAGCTTTTCTTTTATCTCCATACAATAAGTTGATTCTTCATACTTTCAATGAGAACCATAAAAGAAACAGGTTCATCTCTCCCAGTCAGTTTTTTTTTTTGCTTGATCATGTGGTTTTGAAGACAGGATTATGGATCTTATCTTAGCTTTTTAGTGTCAAACTCTTATGTGGAGAAGATTTTATTGAATTAACTAAGCAAATGACCATTTATATAACAGCTGCATTAGTGCCAGGTTTCCAAGAAGCATATTTCCCAGCATTCTGGGAAATTTCAAAATCTTGAATAATGTGCTACAAACTTGCATTATTCAGAAACGCTGGATTTTATCCTTTGTAATCACGTCTACTACAATAATCACATGACCAACTAAACAGCCGGTTAATCAGTCCTTGCCTGGCCAGCGTAACTAAAATAAATAACGATATCAACTGCTTGTACAAAAAAATGAAATTAAATTAGTTGAAAAACAATACAAAAGCAATTAAAATATATATTTGTCTAGAACGATTTATGCATTGTCACCTGTAAATTCTTTATTCCTATAATAGTTTATATCTAGTGACATATTAATAAATAAAATATACTGTTTGTGTCTTTTATTTCTGCTTTATTGTATCTCAGTGCTGATCTATTTCAGCCTTCTTACCCACTTGCTGTCTACATGCATGTGCTCCTTCTCGGGATGGAATTCCTGTTGGTGACAACAATAGACCACGT